AAGAGTGTAATTATACGTGCAAAAACCGGATGTTCTAAAAAAATTATCTTAAATAGAGCCCCGTTTTTATTTCAGTAGTCTCTATTTGTCTATATGTTATTTATTTTCTAACCACTCTCTTTATTCTCAATAGAATATTTTTTATTTCTAAGTGAGCGCGCATTCACCTAACAAATCAGAGAATGGGTACAAGCTCTTAGAAGAGCGAGGTAAAAGTTATATAAATCAAGTAAACGTGTTTGCTGAATTGCATAATTTTTTTTATATAATGGAATCTTGTTTAGTCTTGGCAATCTATAAGTTAAATTCCATTTTCTTATAATTTTTTTGTTTTTGTTTTAAGAATATTAAAAAAATATTGATATTATGACATGCTCAATATTTCATGAATTGAATACTATTGATTCTTCCCATATTCTCAACATATGATATACTTTTAGTATGTCATAGAAATTATTCAATTAACATACCAAAGAATTTTTTCTTATAAGCATTTGTTTATTTTTTAATAAATAAATTTTTTTATTATATCATTACTTAAAATCATAAGTATGAAATTATTATAGTTATATCTTATAAAATGCATTATATAAAATATACATACATATAATAAAAAAAAATTAATTAAATATGTATTCAATTTTATATATGTGTGTGTAATAATAAAAGAAATTAATTAAATACACATTTAAATTAATAGATAAGATAAAATTTCATCATGCGTGTGCATGCGGAATATAATAAATAAAAAGAATCAAAGTAACATATATATATTAAAAATCATTAATTATTAAAAATTGAATTATTTATTAAATTTTGCGTACATACATTTTTAATTAATGTTTTATTTTGTAATAAACAAATTTCTATTAATTTAATTATTACATTCAGGGCTATTATTATTTTATAAATAAAATCATATGAATAAAATCATAATAATGAATATTAAATTATTTCTCTTAAAATTTATTTCATTGTGATATTGTAGTTATCATGTAATAAAATTAATTATAAATTAACTTTTATAATTCTTCTATTGGCAGTAATGTTTTTTTTTTAGTAATCTGGAAATATAATAAAATATTCCGTTAATACACATTGATTATCATTATTTGCTTCTTGAAGTATCATAATTTAAAAATTAATCTGTCAGCTTATTTATTAATAACGTAATATTATAAAATATAATAGATAATGAAAATTGCTACTGAAAATTAATTTTTATATGAAAATTTATTTTTATTAAAATTGTTGAAATTATTATTAATCGAAACGTTTAACTTTGTACTTACAGCGAAGTCAACTTGAACGGTTTCAGAATACCTTCAGGTTCTCAGGTTATTCCCCTTCTACACGCTGTGCATATGGATCAAGATCTTTGGGAAGAACCAGCTAAATTTCAACCTAACCGCTTCCTTACAGCTGAAGGAAAAGTATATAAGCCAGAGTATTTTATGCCTTTTGGCGTTGGGAGACGGATGTGTCTTGGCGACGTACTTGCTCGCATGGAGCTCTTCCTTTTCTTTGCTACATTGCTTCACACATTTGATCTTCGGCTACCTGAGGGCGCCTGTTTACCTAGCCTGAAGGGTAATGCCGGGGTCACAGTTACTCCCGATCCTTTTAAAGTTTGCTTGCTCAGGCGAGACAGGGATGTGCCATTGCGTTGTGTTGGTTCCAAGTAAAAACACATACAGTTCGATAAAATTGAAATTCTTTTTGATAAACAAAAAACTTTAAACAAAAAATAAGCACGGTCGCCGTTCCTACTTCGCTCGTTTCTTGAAAGAGCGAGAGAATCAAATTCTCTAGTGAATTAGAGAAGTTACGATTTGTTACATTATCCTGGCAAGTATTCATGTTGTTTTTAACTCTGTTAATAATGGAGTTAATAATGTTCAATATCATAAAAATTAAGGGCTGCGACAATTATTACACAATTATTCAATCAGCTGTTGAGATCTCGAGTGAATTTGCAATGAAGATATGAATTTGATATAAATGTATTCATTTGTTTTGAAAATAGGATTATTGTTAATAGTAGTTTATTGTTAGTATACTTTTCGTAATAAAGTACTTAGGAAGGTTCAGATTCGGAGTCACCTGTTTATGTTATTTTTTAAAATTATTTTTAACAATAATTATGTAAAACAGTTGGCTTTCATAGATTCTCCACTATTTATATTTGTTATGATTAATAATAGATATGTATAAAATAGATATTATTTGTAGTTACTATGAAACATTTATAAATTTTGTATAAAATTTAATATCTTGCGAAATATAGTGTGATAGCAACAAGTGATTCGAATTTACAGATAATTGAAGAATTACTTATGTTTCGTAAAAATGTTTTTAGCTCTTATATAATTTTCTTTTGCAAATTCAATCGAATACCTAACAAGCATTGAATTTTAATTTGACTTATTGTGTTTGAATTATTTTTTAATTTTATTTAAAAAGTATTATAGGTAAAAATACATGCTCAGAACAATAAGTCACAATACAATGCCAAAATGAATTTCTATCAAAGTTTCATTCGATTAATATTTCATTTAATTTAACAGAGATAGTCGAAATCATTAGTCATTAAGCTTCGGGATTCTATTGCAATTTTTTTTTGTAACATGAAAAAGTCAAAATATTATGTATTCAAAGTCAAATGACAGAAATACAACCGAAATTTGTTATTCTTGAAAACATGACACGAACTGGGGTTTAGAGAATTAAATTTATCGTGATTAATAACAATAAATGCGTATTTTCTTTTCCTCAGTTTCGAACTTAAAGTACAAAAAGAATAAAAAGAATGAAGAAGAAACAAAGACGAAGCTTTCAAAGGTATAAGAACTCCGCTTGTGTTCTAACCGTTTGTAACACGCATTAAATCGTTCGTGGACACATTTGTTTTTATTATTCCGCTGCCATAATATTTATTTTGTAAAGAGAAGACAGCATTGCAATTGCAGCTTATTTAATTTATTTTCCATAATCCATGACCGAGAGTTACCGGTAATAGTTCATCATCATTATTGTTGTCGTCGGCCTCCTCCTCCTTCTCCTCTCCTTCTCCTCCTAATCACAATCATTATAATTAAATATTTTATATTTATATGTATAAAACGCCTTCGTCTGATATTGTAAAAACTTGTCTTATTGAGATTTTGTAGATAATGTTATATTATTGCTCGACATCAAATTGTGTTTCTAAATTTTTAATTAAAAGTCGCGCATTAGAAGAAGGCTTTGTCGTAAAGTTCCTTATACATTTCTTATACACTTGTATATATAGCCACTTAATACATTATACACTTGCGCCTTATAGTTTAAAGCATATATTTGAGTGATATGAGTTACATTTAAATTCAAAACTAATATTTTTATATTTCAATTTCTTTTGAAATAAAATGGTATGAGAAGATTTTCATTATTGAACAGTACATAAGAATAGGAAAAGAAATAAAAAATTAACATTAGGTGATATATTTACCAATTATTAATTAAAGTGCTGATACAATGTATAATAATGAAAATCGATAGACGTCTTAGATATGCGTTTATAAGCGTTTAACTAGAACCAATCTTCGGATATTTCTAGTCTATGAACTATTCACATCTGTTTGCTTTTTCTTTATTTTTTTCTTTTATTAAAAAAATTATTGAGTGTGCACATGTATGAGTTTGATTGATATGCGATCGTCGAATTGAGCCGAATGCCGCCGTCCTGTGTTCACCTGTCGAACGCGAGTTCTTGTGTTGTATATTGTACTATTTGAGGCGAAAACACTTTTTTACAAAATGCAAAAATAAAAAAATTTGTATTTTTAGAAAAATTATATTTTATTTTTTATTGTATCCTTTTGCATATTATCCAGATTTATCCCCGTATGTCCCCGTGTGAAATTTCATTTACATAGTAATAATTCATGAAAGTAAAAAATTGTATAAATATATACATGCATGATAATGTGTTATACGTAAAATTATTTAAATTTTTTAATTGGTTGGCTAAAAAAGTGTTATTTTCAGTAAAAAATTCTTTTAATTTGATATAAAATTATATAATTTAATGCATGCTCTTAAATACAACTGTTGAAATTATTATTATACATTTTAAGAAAAAAATATAAAAGAATTATTACATTATTAGTATATGTTGTTTTATTAAAAAATTTTATTAATAGATTTAAATATATTAGCTTTTCAACGTTCTTTAATGTACTTAAATTATATTATTATATGCATTAAATATGTGCATTTTTTATATTCTATTTTGCTTCCAATTTTACATTTTATTAATTTAGAATTGCCGATTATACACTATGTAGTTTTGATAAGCTCCAAGTTATCCCAAATACTTTGGTAACAATAGTAAGAGCACTCGCCCTCGTCTCCGTTCCTGTGTTTGATAATAACGATAAACCTATGAAAGAGAGCAAACTGATACTGTAGTTTTCTCTTCGAAACCATATGGTTCAACGTGAATGTATGTAATCAATATTTTTATGACATGCAGAAAATAAAAAGACCTTATATATCAAATGTACATGTATCTTTTTATAATATTGTTTAAGAATTTGTGATTTTCAGATTCTGATTTAATACTGTTTAGGGTTATTTATTCAGATAATTTGTGCCGATTTTACATGAAAATTCCCAATAAAAGTGTCGTAAAAAAATTGGAATTTATTAGACATTCTATGAAGAAAGATTTTTTTTATATTGTCCGATCTTTAATTATACCGAATCCTCGTATACAATATTAAGTATAAAATATGTAGAAATACGAGATTTGCAATTTTTTGTTTCCTTTCTCTATTAGAGAAGTTTTATTTTGTATATTAATAATATAAAATTTGTTATTTAAAATATTTAGAAATATTTGAAATTATTTTACATAGAATTACACCAAATAATGCATAGACTAAGCTATATTAAATCAATATTCAATAAATAATTGAAGATTTTAATAGGTAAGTGTTGTATATTTTTGTAATTTATTGAAATTGAAATTTGTATTTTTATTGAAGAGTATTTTCAAATAGTATTTTTGAAATTGATTGTACTATTTTTTATTCTATAACTTCTGATAGGAAACTAGAACTTCTAAGATTTTTCTTCATCAGTGTTGGATTTAATATTTTACAATTGAATACCTAGTTATAAAAAATTCATAATCAATAGTGAATAATTTTTTAAAAATAAGTTACAATAAATTGTTGATGCAGTTTATTAAATAATTATATATAGATAACATTTGAAGTTAAAAAGTAATTTTGAGCACTGTATTTACGATAAAAGCCGTATATGTGATATTACTATTTTAAATGAAATGCTTTGTTACTTTGGGTTTTCCATATAAATAACCAGCGCAAAGTTTTACCTAAATCTTGTATATGATTTTCCGTTATGGCATCCTTTACGTTTCGATTGATTATTCTTATTTCTCTTGGTATTAATTATAAATATAAATGTAATTTATATAATATATATTATATATAGTTATTATATATAATATATATTATAAATAAAAAACAGTATGTTTTCATCGCTTTTAATGAAGACTATTAATTATTTATTTGTTAATCTTATTATTACTCAAATTTTTAGCAGCATTTTTCAGTCTGTTTTTGCTAAGATTAACGCGCAATGTAGGATTTTACTTCCATATTATTTTAGTGTATTCATTTCAAATAACACTGATGGCCTTTCGAAATAATTTTAAAAAGTTCAAAATAATGATTTTTCTAATTTTCATTACATATAAAGCTATATTGTTTAGAAGAACAGTAAATATTTAATTCGAACAGATTTGAATTACATATTGAATTTTATTTGCAAGATTATTATTAGAATTATTATAAATTTTGGTATTTTCATAGTACCTATTATATTAACTTTTATATCATAGTTTTTATGTATATGTTTACAAGTATATAATTTCTTTAAATTATATTACTGGTATTATATCCTCAAAATATTTTGAATACTTTTATTTCATCACAACTTTTTCTTTTCAATAAATTTAATAAAAAAAAACATAAAATTGTATATTATATAAGATGTAAAATTAACAGTTTTGTTTTTATTTTTATGAATTTTTATGTTCAATAGTACAAAGATTTTATCAATATTGTCTTTTTTTTATTTGTATTTATTCATTTCTAAATATTTCTAAATCTTTTAATTTTTCTAATATTTATAATACTTTATTATAATATTTATAATCTTAATACCATTAAAAGATATAATGAAATGAACAGTGTAAAACATATGCATAAATAAAAATTCTCGTTCTGCAACGAGTTCATATAAAATATTATGAATTATTTATTTCATAAAAAAAATAATATATATATATTGTATATAAACAAATATTGCCGATACAGCTTAAGAAAATGTTACAGTTAATAGAGTGATTATAGGAATTAGGAAGTATATCTAGGTAAGGATGACGAAGTCCGTTCAATAACTTAATTAAACTGTTAGAGAGATAAATGAAGGTTTATTTCGTACTTTGTCGAAAAATGTTGCTAATTGCATGGAAATGAAAAAAATACTTATTTTATTAAGTTTATAACTCTTATCAAGAATATTAGAGAAATATATAGATATATATGGAAAAAAAATATATATATATAGATAGATAGATAGATAGAGAGAGAGAGAGAGAGAGAGAGAGAAAGAAAGAGAGAGAAGTTTTATACTTACATTGCCTTTAATAAACTTGTCTTTATGCCGATGGTTCTTAGAATATGCAAAAGAATTTCTTAAAGATATCAATAATAAGTTCCACTGCAAAGTGATTTCTTGAATTGTCTTTATACTTAAACATGAACTCTTTTACTCTTCTCTATTATATTAAATTTTTTGTATTCCTTTTATTTTATTTATTTATCTATTACTCACTTGCATCTTTTTCAATACATTCATAGTATAAATAACTAAAAGATATTTTTATATAATATAATTTTAAATATTAATATTAATTAAATATGAACATTAAATTATTAGTATGGAAAATTGGTTTAGAAGATTACATAACAAATATTAAAAATATAGAGAAAAATATATATAAAATTAGAATACTTTCAATTTTACATTAAACTGAGTAATGCGATATTATCATATATAAGTGTATAATATTATAGCTCATTAAAAATATATATACAAGCAATTGTTGATTGTCTATTAATAGATGAGATATATCTTCATAAACATATTTAGAATTTTTCGACAATAGTAATAGATCAATTCATATTAAAAAAATTAATTTTATATTATGAATTTAACATAAACGATTTTTATATACTGCTTAATTATAAGTCGATAAATATTTCTTTCATGTTCATAATTTATTTATTGAGCTAATTTATCTCTTTAAATAACTTTAATAATTTATGTTATTTTCATTTTCATTTAATTTTTTTTTGGTTTTATTTGGTTTAGTTGATTATTTCAATTAATAAAGTTTTGAAATTTATGTCTGAAACTGGTTTTTTGCAAAATGAGGAATTATAATAAATAATTTGTCTTTATATCTTGCATACTTATTTATTCTTTTTTAGTATTGAGTTCATTATCTAAGATATAGATAAATAAGATATCATAGCAAAGTAGAATGCATGTTTTTATTTTTTTTATATTTTTTTATTATTTATTTTTTTTTATTTTTATTTTATTTTACTATTATATTAATATTTATTATTATAATAATTTATTTTTATTCATGCCAAATATTTTAGTTAAGTCTATCAATATTATGTAGATATTTTGGAACATTTATTATTATTCATGATTAATTAATCTGAATAGCATATTACAAATTTTTCATGTTCGTTTTTCTTTAGACTGTTTCAAATCTATTTATGAATCTTAAAGTTGTATATTGTTGAGCTTTATGCTGTTGATAAATGTCCCAATTCTACATTTTTCTTCGTTTAATGCAAAATTTTCCAAATTATTCTATAACGGAGTTTATATATATTTAATAACTTTCCCGGACTTGTAGTATTATAGAATTTAAACAAATTGTTTAAGATAATGTTATATTAGACATTATTTACTTCTTTTATCTACTGTATACTTGTTATGTAAAAATTTTGATTCTCATATGTCAGTGAAAGTATGCTTGAGTAACAAATTCAAAAGGTCTATTTCTACATTAAAAAAATGTCATCTGAATATACGCGAATGAGTGTAAACTAATTTCTCTTTATCGAAAAATATATTATTTTGCAAAACGTAAAATTAAATAATTAAAGAGTCATATTTATTTTCATTATCTTTTTATTTAATTTATAATTAGTAATAATAATATGAAACCTATCAAATAATTTATGTTCTAAGTTCACTAATTCTTATCGAGATAATGCAATATTAATCGATTTTTTTTTATATTAAATAAAATCTCCTGTCTCCTAACTAGTTATACTTTATTGAGAAGATTCTTTATTTGTATATCAAATTGGTCAAAATTCAGTTGATTTGAAATTGATTATAATGGAGTGAATTATTCATTTAATTTCCCACTATCAAACATTATATGATATCTCATAGAATTGTTTATAGTATTTAAAATTTTTATGTTCTTATATTTCAACATTTATATACAGATTTACGACCAATCTATTAAAATTTCATTATGACTTTGATCCTATATTTATTTTTGTATTACTATTTTCAACGATCCTTACTTTAATTTATTGCTTTTCACAGTCAGAGTATTACAGGTGTTCCTATTTATAATTAATGACAGACGTAACATTTCATAATAATTTGAAAGCCTTTTAAAATAATTAAATTATTTTTAATAAAAAAATTATTATTTTTACAAATTAAGTAGTCGATCTATAATATACATATATAGAGTCAATAAGCTATTAATTTTACGATCGAAATAGAACATTGTATTATTCATGTAATTGCATGATATGGTATAAGAATGCAGTAGATAATTATTAAAATACATTTTGTGTACAATTGATTATGTACATCCTTTTTAATTATTACATATTATTTCCTAAGTTTCAAAATATTATCTTCATTGCATATAATTGTCTTTTAGTCTTTTTTATTCATTATAAATTGAAGTAATTATTAAATTTTTATTAATATTTAATTTAAACCAATAAAGGATAAATATCAAATTAGTATGTTAATTATTTATTATCAACTCTGAAAAGCTATTCATTTGGTAAGCATTTAAAACGCAGTTATTCATTGTTTGATCTTATGTGCTATATTGTTCACTTATTTTGTCATTCGTACGGTATTATAAGTGAATGAAGGATTTACACAATCAATTAAATTATAGTTAAATGATTATATTATAATGAACTTATTAAATAAATTTTTAGGTAATGTATTAATATTTGTTTTAACATTATTACATTTATAAAATATGTCTTTATAATGAATTAATTTATAACCTTTATTAACTTTTATTCTATTTAAATCTTGTATTGTATTTTCATTTATATTTATAGATATACGTACTTTCAAATTCTATATACGTAGAATTTGTTTTGAAATACAGTTAGAAAAGCTTAAAATTTTTGTTTTATAATAAACACAATTTGATTTACATACATCAATATTATATTATGTACCTTACATATCAAGAGAGATAAGGCAAAACACAATTTCATTGATTGGACTCAGATTTTTATACAATTTTATTTTTAAAGTAGATAATTCCACAAATAAGAATTTGAGAAAAAATCAATGACAATGTGTTCGGAAAATAATTCCACAATCTGACTCGTCAACCAAACGTGCAAAAATCAACTTAGAAAAAAAAACCCACTAGATGTTATGTGAGGTTGCTGGGCAAGTAAAGGGTTAATATTATCACTTAGAGGTTATGGTTATTGTAGTGCTCTGATCGAACACTATAATATTATTGTGTTTCAACTCAACACGTGTGCAGTTGCCTCTAAATATGCCTAGATAGAGCTTAAATAGAGGTTATGCGAAGCTGTGCGCCACCTATGGCGGGAAGAACTTATCGTTGGAGGAATTGAAAAGCCACTGTGGCGTCTGTAGCTGGTCTTGTCCTAGAGTATGCCTCTGAGACTTCGGTAGTTGGACCTTAATCCGTCCGCTTTCGACTTAAGCCGAGAAATCAAGTATCAGTACTAGCTGTAAGGACTTACTTGCAGTGTATCGTGATTTTTCCAGTCTCTCTTCGTTGGCTTGTTGTGAAGTTCCCTTGTAATATTGCAACTCTTAAGTTCTTCCTTATCTCCAGTGAGATTACATGTGGTCAGGTCCTATGCAATCTAGTCTTGATGAGATCAATTCAACTGTATACTAATTCACAATCGTAGAAAAAACTTCTGATTAAAACTCAGCTAAACGACCTGAATCTCCGGTCCTCCTCCGTGAGAGTAAGTCGTGACTTATCCTTCAATTGTGCGTGAAGTGTTAGAAATGAATAAGTGAAGGTACATTACGTTGTCCCTTCTTAAATGGTTCACTGGTCTCGCTCCACTTGGGATCTCTTCTTCCTTTATTAATTAACCAATCAGAGGTTGATCTTGGGCCGCACAATAGATTATGCACGCCTTTATTTCCACTTCCTTCCGGGCTCAGTCCCGAATTCGCTAATCGGGAAAGTGTCGGAAGGTGACGAGCCTTTTCCATTGGTCACCTCTCCTTGGTTGCCTCATCCCGCTCTGCGACTTGGCTAGACGAAGGGTCCGCTTAGGCGTGGTCAATTTTCCAATGCGATCAACCAGATGTGAAAATAGCCAAGAACAATGCAAGCATTGTCTTAAAGGCCGAATGCGCCCGTATGATCATTGCATGTTGTTGCACGTGCGGGTTTTGGGTTGCAGTGAATCAAGTAAATGTTTTGTACTCAATGCTTTACGCATATCTGATATTCGTTCTGAAACTACTTTGAGGTTCTCCCGGCAATAACCCCGTTAAGTTCTACTGCACTAGGAGCATGAGCACGTTTCGCTAGAGTTTTCCAGATGTTTTATGACACTAGTGCAAAATAATTATGAGCAGGAAAGGTTTGAAGTCTTAAATACAATATTCATGACATTACTTGTCAGATATTTTATTGCCTTAAAAAAAGAGTCTCTCATTCAAATTGAATATTTTTAATAAAATAATAAATAATATGTCAAAATAATTATGTAGGAGTAGGACATCATAAGGGTCTTTGATAATATATGAAAGGATTTATTATATATTTATTTAATTTATTTTTATTAAAATTTTATTTTTAATATTTTTAATAATAAATAATAAGTTAATCGTAACCATTCTTTATCATGATTTGGAGCTCAGAGATAACTTAATTACTTTCATATTTTTTCATTTTTTAGTTTTCATATAGTAATGATTAATTGTATACATTACAAGAATAATTTTTATTTATAAGTAAGCATCGATATAAAATAATAATATAAGACTTTATAGAGTTGTTCTTACAATATGTATATTGTATAAAAAAGATAAATAAAGGGAATAAAATATATTTTATTATATATATGATAATAAAAAATAAAATAAATGTTATGGTAATAATCTACTTAACAAGGTAAATTTTTTAAATCGATTTTTTTTTATTCAATAATTTATAATTCTATAATTATATGATAACATAAAATAGAATGAAGATGAAAAATTATTGAAAGATCTAATATTATTCTTTTTTTCGTTCATTGTTCTAAATAAAATTAAAAATTTGATGTCTTAAATAAAACTTCATACTATATACATATAATAAATAAATAAACTGAAAAACACATTGAATATAGTAAAATTTGTATCTAGTATAATAATAGATGTATACAAATTTTAAATATAAAAATTAACGTACATTAATTACCGATGAAACGCAATTAACATTTTCTTAATATCTTTTTATTAACGAATTGTTGAAACAGAGCATCATATATTTGCACTAAAATGACATATTTAAGGTATTGGATTTTTAAAAATTTATAAAATTTAAATTTTGTCTGTAACATATAAAAATTATATAAATAGCAATAAATCTTTAGGGATATGTTTCAGATATCCCGAATTTTCTATTTTTACGAGATTACTAATGACGACGTTTAAATATCAAATTCTGTCGTTTTGGTACTAAAGTAATACCACAATCTCCTTCTAAATTTATAGTATTACCTATTGGTGCTGATATCGAAAATCGATGCAAAATACGAGCAGTAAATAGAAACAGAATCATTCGAGCAAGTTCATCTCCTACACACATTCTTTTACCTGAGAAAAATAAGTAATAAATTATATCATATAGAATATTATATTTTAACAAACTCTAAACACTAAATTCATAATGAAATATACATAATAATTCACTAGAAGTTGTAGTTTATCATATGCAATTTGAAAAATTATATATATTATATAATAAAAAACTGTAAAATGTTCAAAATAAGTATTATACGTATAAATTATATAAGTTTAAATAAATATCAATGGACTAATTATACGTAAATGTCTTAGAAATTTATTTTTAATATATATAATAAATTCGCGTGTATTGTAATATAAGAGAATATATTTATTATTAACATATTATGAATATATTGATTAGTGCAATGTTTATTTTAAATTAAATAATTAAATCTTTTATTCAATATAAAAATTTTATTTAATTTAATTTTTAAAGAACTAATAGAAAAAAAAATTGTAGAAAATTATATTTATAAATATATTATTATTTTTAAAACATATTTCAAGCATTTAAAACATTAAAATATTTAAAACTTTTTTTTAGGTCAATTATCAAAAACTTGGTAACTGTTTATGTTTAATCCAAATTTATTGAGAATTTTCAAATGTCAATACTAATATAAATATTTGTATTCATTGAAAAACAAAGCGAATTAAATGAAATTATCATATTGTAAAAAAATATTTTCAAGAGAAGAAATGTAGAAACATTTAGTGCAAAATATTTACATAAATTGTCTTAATTATTTAAATAAAGAAACTGCCTTGATATTAAGTAAATTTTAATTTATGTCATTATTTTTTTTCATTTATTTTTTGAACTCATTTATTTACATACCTTGAAAATTGTATGAAATACTTAAATTTTAAATCAATATAGTATCGATATAAAAACTGATAAAAGCGGATGAAATTTTTATTAAATCATCATTTTATTATATACATATCACACAATTAATAGTTTAGTATAATAAAGCAGCTTCCATTATTATTTTAAACAATTCTTTGTTATAATACAACTTATGCAAACATTTAATTATTTTAATTAATTTAGAAAAAATTGCAAACATATTTCATTCTATAATTCTAATAAAATATTATATTTATAATATCTTAAAAATAAATATGTAATATAGAAATTTAACATTATTTATTATTATTTATAAATATTTTAATGTATTTGTATTGTAAATTTATATATATGTATTACTTGTAACATCTTTGTTTCCCACATAGTTATGTAATTGTTTTAATATTCTTACCAAATTGAAATGGTATAAAAGCATCTGGTTTCTTTAATCCACCATTTTCCGTTAGAAATCTATTTGGATCAAACATACATGGATCCGGCCAATATGAAGGATTTAAATGTATAGCCCATTGTAGGGGTACTATCATACTATTTTTGGGAATGGTAAAATTTTGAATTTGAGTATCCTATATAAATATATCTTCTATTAGAATAAATTAAAAATTTTTTAATTAAAAAACAGTCGTTTGTACAATTAATAGTTTTAGAAGTCTTTTCTAATTATGAAATTAAAATAGCTGTGACTATTATGAAACTAACTCTGCTCAGTGCCGATAAAAGTTATTAATTATTTAACTAATTTTTAGGATTTATTTGCTTCCTTATATGATACATACTTTTGAATATTATAAAGCTAATCTATTATAAATACGATCTATTAAAAATATTAATTCACGTAAAACATTATATAACTCATCATTTAAAGCATTACTTTAATAGATTTATCTAATTATGTTTGCTAATTATTTAAGTTAACATTTTTTATTTAGGTAAATATATTCTATCAATTCATAATAAAAACATTTGAATTTAAATTTACTTTTGAACCTTGACATACCTTCATATGTATTTCATTTTATTTATTATTAAATTATATTATTTTAAAAATATAAGTTCTAAATATATATTTCATTAGAAAATATTGTTAAATTTGATGGTTTATCAAGTTACATTTATATTAAAATGTAATAGAATTAATAAGTGTTATTAAGTATCTAATTAATGAATTTTATAAAACTCTGCAGTAACCTCAGTTGTCCCGTGTGGAATCCCAATAGGTACAACGCTTCTAAGACGTTGTACTTCCATAATTGTAGCTTCTAATCGAGTCAAATCTCGACGATTTTCCAACGTTGGTTCATTTTCACCGACTATTTTATTAATTTCTTCTTGGAGTTTAGCCTTTTATAAGTAATTTAATTTTTATAAATATGAATTATATTTTCATTTCCTGTTTTAATCCATGCAATTGCCATTATATTTTAATATGCTTTTATAATAAAACTAAATTCTATTTATAAATTCAGATAAATTTTTTATTGGCATACAATATTCATTCAATTTTAAGCAGTAATTAATTGTAAATTTTATTTTACCTATTCTTGATCAGTGAGATGATATACATATATTTACGATTGTATAAATTATTTCAGGATATGAATATAATATATGAATTATAAAGATAAAAAAATTACATAGATTTTGGTTGCCTATAAAAGAGTATGCAAGTTATATAATATGTATTTATAATAATATAAAATTTTGTTATCATAAAAATAAGTTTCAGTTTTTATCTGAATGATATTAGTCTTTTTTTATAAAATTACAGTTAATCCACTGCAAGTTATTAAGAAATTAAAAATCTATTATAAAATAATATTTATAAAAATATTATTATTGTAGCTATATAATGTAATTAACATAAAATATTGGATTTATTTTAAAAACTAAAAAAAAATGATTCATAGAAACTGATTAGAAAACTATGGCATACTATTTAAACAAAAAACACTAATATTTTAAAATATAAAATATAATATTATTACATAAAATATATGTAATTTGTCAGTAATCAGCTTAAAAGTTATTTCATATAAGAACAATCGCTCATTTTTAATTACTAAGAATATTAAAAATTTTAAAAATACGACACTCACATTTTCGAAAGAGACGAAATATATACATAAAACTTACCTGTTCCTTGGGAAAAGCAACCATAAAAAGTAGAAACCAGCTAAGTGTAGTTAAAGTTGTATCAACACCAGCACCAAAAATATCGGCTAATAGGTAAACGCATTGTATTTCAGTAAAAGAATCAAGTGGTTCTTCATTTGCTAAACGTTTTTGCATTTCTTTATCATATGCTGCTAAGAAGCTGTTCATTTCATTAGGAAATTTTCTATGATCTGCCAGTATTTTTCGATAAACTTCGTGCGTTTTATTTTGGCCGTCAATAAGTAATTTCATTATATTATAATAGCGGGGTAAAAACCTTCGATATAATATGATTAGCAATATTAAAATTAAAACAAAAATACACTTGCTATATTTTATGAATGAATGATTTTATTTTTATATAAAAATATATCATCACAACAGATTCCTTATTTGAAATTCTTATAATTTAAAACATGTAAACACTTGTTGCCAATAAAAGTTATACATATTTCATAATAATCATTTTATAATTTTATAATAGTAAATATGAAATCAATTTAGAACAGCATTTTGATAAAAATATTTAAAATCTAATTTATTATAACAAAAATATTTAAATTTATTAAATTATTTAAAATATAATTTTCTATAATAAGAATAGATAAAATCTATTAACTTATTAAAAATATAATTTACTATGATAAAGTTATTTACATTTTTTTATTAAAATGTAAATATTTACAACTGAAAAAGTATTATATTCCTTTTTATTTACCTGAGAAATGGCAAAAAATTCAGAGGACCAGAAATACCAATGTGTTTGACACCTTCTTCTTGCAAAAATTGTAACCATTTCCAAACTTCATCTTCTTCTTGATAAATTTTGCCAAATACAAAAAAGTTCATCAAGTTTCCTATACAATGTTGCAAAGTTTGATGGGGATCTAATCCACTTTTCTCATTTGATCGCATTTCAAGTTTCTTTAAATTTAAAAAATTATATTTCTTATTTTAAGTTATATTATACAGTTGAATTAAAATCATAATATTCAATAAATAATTTTAAATGAATATTTATTAAGAAATAAAGTAAAATAAGTATACTTCGTACATTTCAACAAAAAGAAGATTAATATATATTTCATTAAAAAGAAATTATTTATCGTATTTAATAAGAAAATTAAAGGTAATTTTTTGTGTTATGTAATAATTTATACTATATATTATTTATATATAATAATTTATATATATACTATAATATATATTTACTATAATAATATAACAATAAATTATAACTGTTCAATCTTACTCGTACATTTGGAATTCTTAATTTATTAATGTACATCAGAAATTGAAAAATTATGAAATATAAATAATAAAATTTCAAAAACTAACATTGTAATGAAATTTATGTATTTTATTTAAATGTTACTAAAATTTCATTTTATTATTGTAAAAATTTAGATTAACTTTTATAGAACCCTCATTATTAAATACTACTATTTTTCATAATAATATATCGATTTTGCAATATTAACATACAGTAATATAAATGGTTATTTACTAATACTCCCCAAAGGAGATTTAAATGAATATTTAATAATATGAATGCAAGATTGTATTGTGATTAACTACTTGAAAATTTCTTTTGTTCTTAATTATATAAAAAATGACAATTAAAAGTAGGTAAACGATGATTAAAATTAAATTCAGAAGTTTGTATTTTTGAAACCCACGCTTCCGTAACTATTTTTTGTTATTTATTTTGTTCCATTATTATTTAATATTTATTAAAAAAATATATATATATATAATATTGTTAACAAACAAACAAAGGATTCAACTAAATCAATTGTTTTACGAAAATATATTTTGATAAATATAGTCCTGACAGTAATACAATTAAATTTAGTATTTAGTATAGTAGGACAATTAGTTTTATTATTATTTATAACCATAACTGTTAAATATAGAAAAAATGACTACTTTTATGTAGTAGTAGTAGTGCTTTCTTTTTTATATCATAATTAGAAAAAAATTGAAGGGAAATAATGCAAAATAGTGCACCATAGTTGTATTTGTATTTATAATTATATACAACAAATACTTACACTCACATATATATTTAATATAAATTTCTGCGTTAAAGCATATTAATTTTTCACTATTTCTTATAATATATATATATATATATATATAATTTCTTTATATTTTCGATTTTTGTCTGCCTTGATTTATTTATATTAATTTAGCTTGTAAGTTATTTGTGTATTAGTACTACTTCTAGTGAAATATATATATATATATATATATACTATTTTTGTCTTATAATAACCATCGCCAAAGAATAAAATGTTTGAAAGAATAAATATGATTTTAAACATATTTTTGAAATATTTTGTATTTCTAAATAACTTGATAAAAATAAAGATATTTTAGTTTTTTTTTGTAAATTAATAAAATTTTTTATAAAAATAATATTAATAAAAATTTAAGTTAATTATTTTAGTTAAATATTAGTTCAAAATGTAATTACTTTACTGTAGCATATAATATCATTATAACTTCTATGATTAAGCTTATATATTTTTGTCATAAATATATTATTCAAATTCTCATCACAAAGATTTTCTTCTTATTTATATTCCTGTTTAAATTAGTTTATCTGCAGTGTTGGACTTTTTAAAGATATTAGAATCTCTAGTTGTGTTATTATCAATTTTCGATTCTAATACTATTGGTAAAGAATTCTATGTTCTTATCAGTGATAGGATATTTGATTTATTTTTCCCTTAAAAGAATTATTTAATTTTATAAACATTTTAAAATCATTATTTGTTAAAAATTTATCTATTTTAATCATTCACAATTATTTTAGAATGTTTAAGAATGCTTATGATACTATTTTATATTTGTATTTGTGTAATAATATTTTTTGTATAATAATGTATAATAATATTTGTATAATAAATATTTGTAAAATTTTAGCTATTTACCTTTTCTTGTTATAATCGTTCCGTTATATATATGACTTTCTGTTTTTTCAATTTGGTGAATTTTTTATCTTATTTATAGTAGTATTTAATCATTTATATTATTTATATAGTACATTGTATTTATTACTTTATTACGTGAGTTTCATATAAGCTTGAATTTATTTATGTTAATATGTTTATATAATTAAATCATTCTCAATTCTGATATATTCAATTATAAGTATATTTTATTTTTATTAAGAATTTTTATACGAGTTTTTTGAAACTCAATTCTAATAGCAGTCTATAAAATATTTATAAAATTTCTATAGAAAATTAAGTCATTTAAATAGTTTAGGGAATCATAGGCTTACAATTTATATCTATTGATTATATTGATCTTATTTATTTATTATTTATCTTATTTATCTTATTTATTTTTTACAATGTTGCTATTGGCATTATATTAACCTTCTCTTATATTTTGTGGAGAGGTTACTAAATGCTACATAATAGTTTCTGTTTTTTTAACGTAGTATATTTTTGTAATTTTAGTTTTAGCATTTTTCTTCTTTCTCGAATAAATTAATAATAATAATTGAATAACATTCATTTTGTTGGCCAATATCTTTTAATATTTCACAAAAATTATTCAAAACTATTTAAAACTAAATATTGTTTTTATAAGTGTTATCCTGTTACTTTTATTATATTTAAAGAATTTTTATTAATAATTACAATAAATTATTGGTAATTTTTAATTTAACCGTATATGATTATTTATATTATTTTAATAATTAATTTAGAAGATAGATTTAAAATACATTACTTGGTTTTTTACATTATGACGTTATAATTTTTAATGCTGTTAAGTTTAGGATTTTTTCTTTTAACAAATGTTTATAATATATATATCTGGGTGACTTTATTGACTCGCATTTATTTATAATTTGTCTAATTTTTGATAATGAATACATTTCATGTATTTATTTAATCTTGTTGGAATTTTGTAGTTTCTGATACAGTAATAACAAATTAATGTATTTTTTTGCACTTTCTCCAAATAATAATGAAAATGAAAGTTTAAGAATTTATTATCCAATAATGTTCGCACCATGGCAATAGTTAATAATAAGATTCTTTTAATAATTCATTTACTGTTTTACTCAAACTAATGTTTACAATTGCATAGGTTGTTTCTATTAAATATATATTACATTGATGCATTAAACTTTAGTAATAAAATATATTATTTTGAATTTTTGAAATCAATGTATAAACATCCTATATAAGTTTTTAAAGCAAATTTATTGCTGGCGTAATGATATTTATATATTTTATATATGATATGTTTGTTGTAATTATTTTTGACATAGATATTTTTATAAATAATATTTTAACTAATTAAATTTAACGTACGTTTTGGATTTCAATTAGAAATTAAGAACATACGACGATCACTGTGCTCTTTCTTTTTCGTTAATGGAAATCGTTTTATACATCTTATCACAATATTGTATTTTCATTTTTTTTTCAGTTTAACTCTTTAATTAATCCATTATATATATTGTATATCTTTATGTATATATCTTTTTGTACTATTTCTCTTTAATTCAAAAGGAAGTTAAAAACTTCTTATGATTTTTGTTTTTTTTTTTATTCCAAATATATTCTACAGTTATTATTTTAGTTTTTTTTCTATTATACTGATTTTGTATTTTAGTTTTTTTTTTAAATCAAGTTTGCTTTAAGACAATATTTTAAAGTAATAGTTAATTTTTTATATAAAATTTTAAATCGAGTTAAATTTAAGTAATTGTTTTTGGAAATATATTGTTTTTTTTTAATTTCATTGAATTCCAATGTAGACTAGAACATATATTTTCGTCGTAGCGGCTGTTATTCTCAATGCTTTAATTATTATTGTAGTTACTTTTTTATAATAACTTTTTAATAATTATTATATAATAAATTTTTATTATAAATGAACCAAATGCATCACGTTATATTTATATATAATATTTTATTATTTTCTTTTCTTCTATTTAAACTATAATTATTTGTATCGAATTTGATATTACGTATTCCTTATTTTACTTTTTGAATATACGAGCAATTAATTAGATAATACCTTTCTTTTCGTGAGGGTTGACGCTCTTTACAATGAAATAATTTTTTCAAGAGGAGTTTCACTGTTAAATACTTATATATCTGGATTTTAATTTAATTCTTATATGAATAAATATGCACATCGGCACAAATACTTTTTTCTATTCTACTATAAATTATTGATGCAGAAATAAATAGTAAATTTTTTATATTTTAGCTTGTTAAATTAATAATTTATTCAATTTTAATGACATTAAAAAAATACATCAAAGATAATGTTATTGACGTTTAATTTTTTTAAAACTTTAAAATATTCAATAAAAAATTTTGAATTTTAGAAGCGATTATTATTCATTTATTAACCAAATTCCTAAAGTGTTAAAAATAAATCATAATTTAATTTGTATTTTTACTATAACAATTAATTTTGTTGTAATATGAACTTATTAAATTATGAATTCTTTTATTACATTATTACATTATTTTATTATTTTGTAAATTTTATTACTATATTTATTCAAATATATATTATTTACTATGATATTTATTTGTAATGAACTGTATTCATTAACAAAAATTTGGAATTTGTAATTTCTATTTTTAACGAAAAAATTATCAAATTTTATCCAAAAGATGGTTTTAGTTATTTTTTTAGTAATTAAATTGTTATATAATTTAAGAATTTTTAATTAATTAATAATTAAAATTAGATTATTATGATAACATAATTAAGCGTAGAAAACACTCAATTTTAATTTTGTCTATAAATTATATGGACAACAATTTATTAAGAATACCATTTATATAAATTTATCATAAATAGAAATATATTATAATTCACTTTAATAATATTAAAATTATTGTAAAAGTAAATTTAATGTTATAATTTCAAAATTATAGATTGCGTAAATTTCTTCTATGATCTTGGAATAAAATGAATTAAATAGTAATTACTACAAATATTATAGTATATTATATAAAATTGATATAAATATTTTGAATATAAATATATAAAAATTTTATTTATTGAATTATTTATACAATGGCGAATTGTTTTCTGAATTTTTTAAAAAATATAAAATAATATTATTTAAAAACGGTTTTGATAAAAAAATATAGAATGTATTTTTCATATTTATACATATTATTTTATAAATTACTATACTATATGGTCATGCTTTGATATTTTATCGGTGTAATATTGTGTTGTTATTTAGGTAAATCTATTGTATTAATTTAGGATTTTATAATTTTAAATACTATATTACTAAATACATATACAAATTTAGAGAAAATGTATGGTGTTACAATATTCCTATTATTCATAAAAATTAAATATTATTTGTTACCATAAGTGCTTCATTAATACTGAGTAGAATTCTTTTTTCTAATAAGTCGCGTTTTGAACTAGCAAATTTCGTCATGCCAAAATTTTTAAGACAGTTCAAAACAAATTTTCTCTGAACCTTCCATAAATTACCCTCTGCTGCAATTATACCTGCAATACAAATTTAACTTATAATTTTCTTGCTTCATACTTATAGTTTTTATTTATATAAATGAAATATCATACGCTTTTCTTATGTTCTTTATATATATTATAATGTATCAGCTACAAATCGATAAAGTTTTTTCCCACTTACATATTTTTAATATACTATGAAAATCAGCGACTATTTTTTATAAATAATGTCGACCTTTTTCATTTAAAATTTGAACAAATATGCAGATAAAATAAAGAAAAACACAATAAAAGACAAGAAGATAAAGATATAAGAAAAGATTATATTAGTATGTATATTTTTTATGTATACGGGTTCATATGTATAATTCAAACCACTGGATCTAAGTTGGATTAGCATATGTACATTTGTGTGTGCAATGTGGAAACGAAGAAAGTACTGTTGTTAAATAATTTGACTCGTTTATCGTTAACAAATTAATAAAAAAATGATTTATTTATGCTCATATAGAATTTCAGATATTTTTACAAATATATAGAATTGGTTGTTGTATAACATATGTAAGTTTTAAAACTCATAAGATTGGTGTGATGTACGACTTATATGTTAATAAGTAGTCTATAAATCTTATAAACGGCTATTAGTATTTATGTGAAAATTTATGCGTATACACTTCAATTAATGTATGATTACACGATTATTCTTTAATCGAATAATAAAAAAAAAAATACGAATTATATGCTTTTTAATGATGAATGCTGTATTAAACATGCTTTTAATATATATTCAAACATACACCTCATAAAAATATATTACTTTGAATAAGAATTTATTACAACGTATTAATTGAATTAATTAATATTAATAGGGATTATTAATTACAATATATTTAGTTCATACTATATCTCTATTTATATACAGTACGGTGTTTGATGTATTTTTATGTTACTATATTCTACTTATAATTAGCGGAAGTAACTAATATAAATAAAGACATAAAGCGAATCTAGTTACATATATCTTTCTTAATTTTATAATGTACATATGCAAATTGATATACATCTTTAAATATTTATTTTCTAAATATTCCTTAAAACAAATATTTAGTATTTTTCATACAAATTAATATTAATTTACATCATATAAAAACTTTTTTTCAAAATACAGTGAATTTTAATATTATAAAGAACATTTTTATCGGAGAACAACTTTTAGATGTATCTACGTGCGTACACACACGCGCGGTAAAAGCAAGATTGTTTATATATCAAAATAACCTATTAATATATACATTATATCTTTTACAAATTTATCAAGCTTTAATTTAAATTATCTTACAACATTTTTGATTAATTTATAGATAATTAAAGATTACCATAATACTTTGTTGGATTAATAAACAAATAAATACTAAAATATTGTTTTGCATCGATTAATTCAGAACAATCATGTTCAACTTTTGAATATACGAATTTAAAATAGATTATAATTTTTATTAAACATACTTATATAATCAATATTAATAATATTATATATAGATTTTAAGATGTATTGCTATTGTAGTAATAATAAATCATATCCAGGAAGTAATTATCTTTTTTTCATTTTTTATTTCTTTTTCATTACTTTGAATTTACTAAAAAAGTTATTTTTTATATTAAATATTAAATATATATAAAGTAAATTCAAGCTTGATTAAACAATTCAAAGCCGTTGTTTTAAATTTATTAATGTTTATATCACAATTGTATTTAAAAATTAGAATGTATAACTACTCAATCATATACTATTTTTGATAAATTTTTATTTACAATATTTGTATATAATTATATAAATCTTTTAAAATAAAAATTAATACAAGATAGTTTTGAAATTTCCATTATAGAAATACATCTATTGATAAAATTGATTTTTTTTTTAAAATACATGGTTGAAAATATAAATTTCATAATTAATTCATTTACTACATTACACTTAATTTAATTATTAATTATAAATTTCTTTAATTTAATAATTATGTGACTAATTAATTTCTTTCATTGTGCAATATTTAATAACGTTCACAAAAAACTTTATATAAATATTTTCATTAATTATGTATAAAAAATAAATATTTAATAAAGTTTTAAAATTCAATCGAATCATTTTTCATCTCTTTTACGATATGCAATTGTTTAAAATCTAGCATAATTTGATTAAGGCAAGGAAATTTGTTACGATTGAATTCAATTAAGATATATTCTAATACAAAAAAATTTTCAAACTGCTGTACGTAAATTCTTCATTTTTTATTTAATACTTTAATCAGAATTCAATTTATACATTGTAAATAATTTATTATGAAATCGAATAGCAGCAATAACGATATTTCCATAATATCTTATGATACGAATATATTTGAATATTAAAATATTTTTCTGTTACATTTCTCTCATTTAAGTGAAGTATATATTTATATCCATATATATGTATACGTATGTCTAATAATATCTCATAAACAAATTCACATTATATATCGTGTAAAAATAAAATAATTTATTCAAAGTAATTATAAATTATAATAACATTATTAAAATTTATATTTAATATTTATTACATATTAAACCTTTTTTTGCACTTTTCCCGTTATGTATATATATATATATATATATATATATATCCTTTTCCTTTTCCCTTTATCAGAATTTCGGTCTTACTGTATATCTCTTTTCATGACATTACCACTGAAAGGATTTTGATCCGTCCTTGTAAAAGTAACTGTAGTGCTCTACACGAGTACAGAGTATAACAACCGAGACCGGAACCACAAGCATGCGTTGCGATTTCTTTTATGAAGAATCATAAAAGTGAGAGTCTTTTACAAATGCCAATTTATTCAGTTGGTGTATTTTACAAATATATTATGGCCATACCTGTTCTGTATTTAATCAATAATTTTTATTTGCTCTTTTTGAATGATTAATTTATGAATTTATAAAATTTGAATTGTTCATTTATTTATGTGTATTTCGAATTTTTTAAATATTAGTACGATTTTTTTTAATGTAAAAAATGTAAAAATTGATTTTCATAATTAAAAATTGAAAAATATGCTCATATAGATATATAATTATTAATTATTAATATTAATTAATAATTTTTAATTAATCTATACTTCTCTATTATACTTATGAACATACGGTATATTATTAATTAACCATTAATCTTTAACAATTAAATTTTTGTAATATTAGTATATTTAAATATAATACATAATACTATATATAATATATAATATGTAATAAATATATAATAAAGCATATTATAAACAAAAACATTAAAAAAGTGTATATTTTTATTACTTTACGAACCTGTAGTTTAATATTATAATTCATAAGATACTAAAGTGTAAGAACTCATTTATAAGTGCAAACATAATATTTTACTAATATATATTGAATAATTATTTTCAAACTAATAAGTAGAATACACAAAATTTAGAAATAAATAAAAGTGCATAAGTAACTGAAAATTTTTAAATAAATCGAAAATATTTTCATATTATTAATAATAAAAAGTAAGGTAAGAATATAGCAATTTTTAAATTGTATCGTGTATTATTTCACGTATTAAAAAGATTTATTTATCGCTACTATCTATATATATTTATGTGTACTTACAATATAATATTTGGTCAATTTTAGTATTTATGTATTTCGTATAATTAATAAATAATATATAATAAATATTACATATTATTAAAGAACTTTGTTTTACAATATTGCTATTTGCAATTTTAATGTTAATGTACGCATTAATATGGATCACGAAATTTAATTCATTATTTTTAAATAAGTTTTATATAACATTTTAAATATGTTCATCCTGAGTTACGTTAATAATAAATATTAAGAAAAAATTATATTATATTTGATTAAATAATAATATCGAAGTGCCTACAGAATTACAATGATACTAAATAAAAACTTATGAAAGTTGATAAAAAATTGGAATAGTAATAAATGTATTTAAATTATTTATATTAAAATATTTATTGATTTTTATATAAAGGTATAAATTTAATTTGTTATGAATTAAATATACTTCGTAATTTCCAATATTTATTATTTTATATTTGGTAACAAATGCAATAGCGATAAATTGTACTATATGAATAGAATGTACTAGATTCGCTATTTTTAATTTATTAGTAAAACAAAATAATTTAAACTATTTTTCTTATTATATTATAATATGATATTATTTCTTTTAGATTATGAAAAAATATATTATTTTTTAATTTCATGATTTGCAAAGCATTTTTTTATTTCAATTCATCATGTAGTCATTCTACACCAGTACATTGTTACTATACTTTTTATAATATATCTATCAAATTATTTTGTATGATCTTATTTTAAATAAATCTCTTTATGTTCCTTAAAAATATAAAGAATAAGTAGTACTTATCCACGGGTAGTCGGCCCATAAAGTTACAAATATCTTTTACTACTGATGTGGTGCTTTGAATTTATTTTCAGATGCATAATTTGGTTTTTAAGTAAATACAATAATATTTTTTTTGTAATCAATAATTAATATATTTTACTATATTGGTACTATATTATATAATATATTTATGTCTCTTTATAATTAAATAAATTAAAATTTTAGAAAATGTTCATATTTATAGATAATAAATAAGATTTTCTAATTAGTTTTAATTTTCTTTGTAACATGTTAAAATAATTGTAATGTTTACATTTTAATATATTATTAGAATGATATTTATGCATAAAAATGTATATATATATTAATTTATAGTTGTTTCTACAATTTATAATAAAATATTTTTATATAACATAATTTTTATTATTTCAAATTATCATTGATTTTGAAAAATGCATACATGTAAAATACTGTTTATTATTTAATTACATTACTTTTATTCTTTTATATATTAATCACGTTATATTTGGTTTATATTATAAAATATAAAGTATCTTTTTAAAAATTTTCTAATATAATAATATGATGTTCTCACTGCCATTTTTGCTTAATTCATAAAAAGTTAGCGTTTATTCTTTTGAAAAATAATATTTAAATATAAAATATTTAGGACTTTGCATTATATTAAAAACATTTGTTATCGTTTGCTAATTTCCTAAAAATATGCAATTATATGATAATATAGATCTATTGATTTTAATCTATTTTATGATTTCTTTGCATTGAAATATAAATTTTATCGAAACAGCAGCTTGCATATATTCATTTACTTAAAAATAATTTTGGAATTGATTTACTGATAACTATACACTTTTGTTAATAAAATTATTTTAATATCATAAATAAAACAAAGCTTACCACCCATATTAAGCGAATACGATAACACGAATTATATAATGATCACCTGATAATATCAAATGACTGATATTTTAATTAAAACTTTTATTTGTAAATAAATTAATTAATATTTATAAAAAATATTAATATAAGTTTTATAACAAATAATTGATAAATTACAATTATTTTAATTATATTATATTCCGTACTAACAAAAAAAAGTTTTAATCCAATAGAAATTATTTATAATGATGTTTTAAGATTATTTCATTAGTAAACACAACAAATCTTAAAAAAAAATAATGAAGTGAAGTAATATGACATTGTTGACTACATAGATATATTCTATACATAATATACATTTCGGCTTTTATAATGAATCCATTGCAATTAGAATATCTTTCATTTATGTCTTTATTCTTATTGTCTCCTGTAATTTTTATTTTTTCAAATCGATATAGCGAATGATTTTCATTCATTATATATATGTATATATATTTATATATGTATATATAATTTTTACTTCTTTTAATAAGTATTTTATATAACATAACTTGTATATGATTAGTAATCTAAAGAATATTTTCCTTTCGCTCTTATGGCTTAAGAGCACACGAAAAAAATGGAAATCTAAATGAAATTTCATTTCAATTCTGTTCATCAATAACTATATTCATGGTACCTTCCATGGCTCAATATATGATACAAATTCTTGTAGTTAATGATTTTATTACTATTTAATATATCTGTATTAATTTATGTACACAATATTGAAACATATAAAAACAATTTTATTATAATATGAAAAATGATTCGATATTCATTTTGTAGAAATTGGTAATTGATTTAAACGATAAAAATATTAAACAAACTAATTTTACATCTTGTTCTTATTTAGTTTACAGTTCGTGTTTCCTTTTTCTTTATTCTTAATATCACGTCTATTTTTATAAAATTCTTTTAAGAATACCAGCGATTATGATAGAATACTATCCAATGGCTATTTTCTTTTAATAGGTTAGTCGGCCCTCGATGGATGCTTTATCAGCGAATCCGTTGTTTCCTTATACATAAGGAAACACTGCTCTCAATTGTGTGTTCTGCATCCGTTTCATTATTATTTATTCCAAGCCCAAAATAAAAGTGCGCCAAAAGAATCACAAAGAAAGAACAAGAGCGATGGATTGAGTATTGGAAGGCAATAGAGAAAGAAAATGAAACAGAAATTACGAAATATATGTTTTTTGTAACAATAATGTTTTTAATACATAAAAGATAACATATATTTCAAATTACATAATGGTTCTTTGTATTAACGTACGAATTTTCATATTTTATAATTGAAGTTATGAAATATAAATAAAGTTTAGAATAAATTTTTTCAATAAATAAAAGTTATTTGATTAAGATAATATATAATTTAATAAAAATATTTGAAATTTTTAATTTAATTTAAAAATCTTAAAAGTAATAATTTTTGTTATATAACATATAACTTGTACGTCATACTTTCATGAATATTGTTTTAAATTTTTCAAATATATGATATTTATTAGAAGTATATGAAAATATTATCAGCCAAATACTAAATTTAATAAAATTTGAAAATACATTCAATAAATTAAAAATTACATTTAGTAGAGTGAATTTAGTTTATTATTCGTACATAATAATTATTTCTTTTACAGTAAATTCAATTTATATTCTATTTATCATATTTAAATCTTTTAACTATCATTTCATGCTTGCATTATTAAATTGTACTTCATAGAAATATATTTATCGATTAAAGATAATTATCAATCAAATCATAATTTCATACAAATTACACAATAACATAATAAAAAATATGAAATAATAGGTATAAATTTAATTCATAATTAATTATAATTTTGTACTTATTACTAAACATAAAATATTACTGTACACGAAAATTCAATATTCTGAAAAAATGAAGAAAAATGTAAAAACTTGTGTATAAATAATTTAAATTATTTTTATTTTGTAGGCTACTAAATTTTTAATGGTATTTATTTACATTGATAAAAATAAATTTTACAAAATTTTGTTTATTGTATTAACTAACTTATTTCATAATATAAGTAAGAAATAAAGCAGTTTTCTACTATCCATTTAAAAACTTTTAAATACATTTATTATAATGATTATATCTGAATATATGACGAGAAAATTTTCGTTTGAAAATTTATTTTATTTATATACATATGTTTGATTATTATTCTTATATATATTGATTACTTCAAAGCAACGTTATAATAATTAAGAATTTGTATTACAGTTATATGAATTGCTTATTGCGATAAGGATAGACTAAGTTTTTTTAAAGATTTGTCAGAAATTAAAATATTATCTAAATCTGAATTTTCATCAATTACAGAAAATATCTTTTGAATAAAAAGAAAACTAATCATATTTAATACATAAAGAGCTTAACTAAATATAATTTATTCCTTCAATTATAACATTAATATTTACTATAAAGAAAAATGTATAGCTTTTATTAGTAATATATTACAGAATATTATATTTTACTAGTTATTCTGGTAAAACAATATTCATATATTTTATTACTAATGTTTACATATAATATTTCTTAGCCCTTTAAATTTATTCTCTTTTGTAATTAAAAGAGACTTTTTAATTTCTTCCTCCTTCGAATAGTAATGTATAAAATAAAGCATTTACTTTTTCTTTGCATAATATAAATATTTAATAATTCTAATATTCAATATAATCATTAAGTTTTAAGAAAAACTTACATTCAAATATGTTTCTCCAAATAATTGATTAAATTATTTTTATTACTAAAAAAATTAATGATTAAATTAAGCAACCGTTTTATTTGGTTTTCATAAAAATATATATATTTAAAAACTACTTACCAAATCCTTTCATTATGCCATGGGTCATATAGAGTGGTGCCCTTCCACAAAAAACATTCTTCGAGAAAAGTTGACGTATTAGCTTTGGATCTGATAACAATACTGTATAAATTGAACCCATATGTAATCCACAGACTGGTCCATATTTCCCGGCAAGTTGTGCCAAACTCTTATGTGGTGTTTGAGGATCTATAGATAGAAGATTACCAATAATTGGAAGACCCCAAGGACCAGGAGGTAATCGTCTTCTGCTTTGAACCCAATATATGATTAATAGTAAAGAACTTATAACTAACAATCCATAAAATGTAAACATCCTTTAAAAATCTGTAAAACAACGATATGAAGTATAAATTTATATATGAAATTTATTTCATACATACATCATATGTACATATGATTACTAAAAATATATAAATATTTTTTTTATAATAAAATTTAGTAAAAAAATTAATAAAAATTCATTGAATTACAAATAATTAATAATAATATAAGCAGTCGAAAAATATTAGAGTATCAATAAGATAATATAAAAATATTATATCATAAAAATAATGTGTTTTTATTTGTAAAATTTTATTTAACATTTACAATACCGATTGTACTATTTGACTAAACGTCCAAAGATTGATGAAATATATATTTAAATTACTTGTAAAAAATATGAAATTATTTTAAAAATTACTATTTCTCTCATCTTAATATATATGTATGTATGTAAAAACAGTGAGTAACGTATTCATGAGACTTTTTTATTAAAAAAATATAATAAAAATTTTATAAAATTTAGTGATTTTTACGGAATTTTTAAGAAAATTATTTTAAAAAATCAAAATAATATAATAGAATTAATTATATTGAATTATAATTTATTTATTAATAATAAATTTTTTTAATAGGAAAAATATTATATACTTTCTAATTAGTTCATTATGAATATTTTCTTTTCGATAGGCATTAAAATGACATTTATATATTTGTTATGTTTTTTCAGTAAATATAATAATTGATTTTCATTTTAAACGTCATAAGAATTTGATGATTAATTACAAATTTTTCTTTTTATGACTAAATTTGGTAAATATTGAATATAATATTTTAACGAATTCTAAAGTACATTTAAAAAAATATTTTTAACATTAACAACTCGTACACGAACTTATCACATTAAATGCACGAGTTTCAGAAAACGAAAGTTTCATTTGATCTATAGCATATCAGAAAACTTTTTGTTAAAAGATATTCAATTCATATTTTCAAAAATGTACTTACACTTTATAAATTTCATTGGATTATATACCCCTCTGAACACTGAAACTGAACACTTAGAAGTGTTTAATTAAACCATTAAAAATTGTATTATTTATAGTATTGATTCTTGTTTAACTAGAGATAATGACTAAAGTCTAGTGTTCATTTTGTTTGATAAAACAAAAAATAACACATTCGCTGATCGATAGACCGCGCTAGATGATATACTTTTTAAACTAAATTTTTCGTTATATGGAAACAGAACCTATTATAAAATGATTATATAAAGCTTTAGCATAAAAATCTAATTACTATTAATCTAATTCAGAATAAAGATATTAAAACGATGTAAAATATTTCTAATGTTTAAAGAACAATTTTATCTATAATATTCATATTATATTCTGGCTTATATGAAATTATGGATGGATTTTAAAATTAATTTTTTAATCAAGTAAAAACTAGAATACATGTTTGAGGGTTTCATCTTAAACAATTTTGGACAACATTCATTTTTTCCAAAATAAATAAAAATGAATATTAATTATGGTTTCTAATTATTAAGTAAGTTTCAAGTTAACAATATTAAAAATATTAATTATCGTATATTATGTGATATTTTAAATAATTTAATTAACGATTTTCTAATTTTATTATAATATTTTAGATATATTATTAAATTACAACTGAATTTTTAATTAAATATATATATATTTAATAAAATTACAGTTAATGAAATTATATACCTTAATTGCATAGTATGTTATATTGTATTATGTATTATTTAAGAAAAGTTATAAACTTTTATAAAAGTAGTTAATAAAATCAAATTAAAATTTTATTTTATAAATACAATTATTTAAATATTAGCTGAATCCTTGGTTATTTTTTAATGATATTAAAAAGATACCAATTTTCATCGGCTAAGCGATTATTTTCTCTTACTAGATAATGAAAAATAGAGATAGTGAGCCCAACATATAATATTTAATTTAAAATCTTTTAATTTGAAGGCATTTTCAAAAATATAAAAAATTTCAAATATTGGGACTTTGCACATATAATTTTTGATTAATTCTATAGATTTTAATTATTAAGATTAAAATTTATTCATATTCTAACTATGTGCCTATTTTTCTTATTATTTTTGATAAATAAAATATAATATCAATTTTATGCGAACAAATTCAAAAGATATATAAAACATATGTACTAAAAATAATATAAATTTATAATATTCTAACAATAAGTATGTTTATTAATTTATATGTATGTATTTGTGCATATTTTGTGTTAAATTAAAAAAAATTAATATATACTTAAATAAAATATATTCTTACAAGCATGTGGTATATGTATGTATATATATATATATATATTTACGTAAAAGTTACGTAATTTTTAAAAGAATTTAAAACATAATGACCTGCAGAAGATAATATAAGTCCATGAACTCGCGTATTTTTATTATACGTATATTTATTCCATTCTTTAATTATTCATATTTTGTTATTTATTTTTGATAAAAGTAAAATTAAAAATAAAAATAAAAATCTTTATGATTAAAATGTATATTAAACTATTATTATTATATTTGAAAGTATTATAAATACAAATCTAAACAAATATAAAAAATGATAACCAAGAAAAGTAATAAAATTCATTGAAAAAAATTAGATTAAATTGTATATATTAGATATATAATTAAGATAAATTATAAGTAACTCAACCGAACGAAAGGTGAAAATTAATATATAATAAAATTATTTAGAACATTGAAACAAATTAGTATTATATTAATAAATAAAATACTAATTCGATTAATAACATTTATTGTGTAAAAATAATTACTTTAAATAAATATTGAACACATTTTTAAATTATAGTTTTGTTTTTTTAATAATTAATATTGTACAAAAATATTCTACACTAAACGCACGTATGGATTCAGAACTTGCATGAGCAGATATGATGGTGTATGTCATTTAGTATAGTCTTAATATACTCGATTGAGTCTCCAGTTTGTGATGCAATGCAATTTAAAGTCAGTTCCCTGTACGTTCGCATGCGAATTGCGTCTGGCTTACCTTCGATCTCGATCGAGGGCAACGACTGCACAGCCCCGGCGCGGTTCTCGTTCAGCCATGCATGCGCGCCGTCTTGCAAGTGGAATTTTCTCTTCTCAATGCACGATTTCGATTTTTTCCTTTCATACTCTCTCATTCCTTTACTTAAGTCATTGAAAAATATCGTATTATAACTTACATTATAAAGCTTCTTGTTTTGGTTTATCAAAATGTTTTATTTTTCATTTCAAATTATAACAATTTTATTACATTATGTGAAATTTACTATTCCACATCAATATGATTATAATATGGAAATAACAATATATGAATCTATTATCTTATTACATGATATTAGATATGTTCATATTTTTGTTTCGACTTTTTCAAATTTTTAAATAATTCATTTGAAGAATGCAATAGATTGAATATGAAATAATAAAAGTAAATTTGTTTATAAACTCGTTGATTTGCAGATATAAATTTATTATATCTTCAAATTATTATAAAGTAGTTCAATAAGAATATAGGAATTTGTGCCCACATCAATAAAAAATGTGGGTGGATATTAAAATATCTAAAAATTTACTTGATACTAGTTGTTTTACAGAAATTGTATTTATTACATAATTTTATAAAATTTTATTATAAAAGTATATAGCCTATGATGATTTATAGTATTTAATTTTATTCCTGTTACATTTATAATTATTTTAAATACATATATTATTATTAGTAAATAATGTTGCTATCAGCACAAATTTGATTGCAAAATTTATTTAAATTGAAGATTATAACATTTGAAGAACTATTATTGTAGTAATTGATAAGGGTAATTGATGAGTATCCTGATAAGGGTAAATAAATGATATTGGAGCATCAAAAATCTCAATAAGTATAGGTTTGCGTTAATGCATACAATACAACTGATCTAAAACGGAACTGAGTGAACAGATGAGTGCACTAGTACTCGAACGATTGGACGGAACGAGCAACGACCGACAAAGGTCATCCACGACATTATATCTGCATTTTATCGTGGTGATTCGTATCTTCCTTATATTCGCTGTTCATTCGCGATTTCCTTCATATTTTTTTAGTGTTTACTTTGCATAATCATTGCTTCTAATTCCGTCTTTTTAATTACGTTTTATATATAGCCATTATTTTTTAGTACTTTTTTTGTTAATACTCTAAATATAAATTTTGCAAAATTTCCATAATCAATATATTAATTTCTTTATTATGTAATTATTTAGTGATTACATTATACAAATTGAAAGCAATTTTCATAATAAAGATTAAAAGATTTACAGCAAGTCATTACAAATTTAGTTTACAAACATATATATTTCACAATTTGAATAATTTTTACCTTGTAGTTATATTATTTTAAATTCGATACTAAATTCATTAATACGTTTATTATTTGTTAATAATAATTGCCATACATTATATAAAAAATTTTAAGGATTTTGTAAACATTTATGTACATATAAATGTATATAATACCAAATATAAATTCTTTCAAATATTTTGAATTGATAAATAACACTAAGAATAATAAATTATATACGATAAAATGATACAGAAACTCGAACTTTTTACGTCTAAAAGATCATAATAATTAATTCATACTAATGCATGGAAGAAAAAAAGAATTTAAGAAATATTTCAAAATGAATATCGAATATAGAATAGGTCATTGATATTTCCATAGAACAAGAAATGTTTATACAATAATAATAATTTTCCAATTTACATCTTAAGATACTACTCAATACCTTCCATTCATAATTCTTGCTTATTAATTCATGAAATCTTTCATGCCAAAATTTATAGAATATAAACTTCATTATTTTCCATAAATATTACATTTATATATTTATGAACACACGTACATACACCTATATATAAATATTATAAATATATCTCGATATGCTAAAATCTAAGATTTATTGAGGACTAAAGATTTATATTAATAACGAAGAACTCAATAAAAATATCTATCTTTATCTAAATATAAAAATTATATTATAATCTTAAATTTGGTTAGATAAAGATAACAAAATTTAAACTAAATTCTAAATTGTAAAAATCCAGAATAAAATACATTATATAAGTCATATGCTATGTAAATGTAGAATAAAATGTTAATATCACGATCTAAGCTTGAGATCAATGTAAAAGTGTTAAGCTCTAATTTTTAACAAGTAGTATCAATATTCAATTTCAATATCAATATCAATATTAATACAGAGTTTTTAAGATAATCACGAAAAGAGACTTGTTAAAAATAATATAATACTACCGATTTTATTAACTATTCTTATTTTATATTAATAAATTCTAATAAAAAATTATAAAATATTTGTTTTTAAATAAATATTATTTTCAAATTCGATATTATTTTGGTATGAACAATCAAATAATATATAGTTAATATTCTTATTATATTAATTATTAAATATTAATTTATTTATGTAGTGAAATCTGTTCGTAAGTAGTTTACAAATAATTATATGCCGTATTCATCATTGTTAAATAATATTTCATAAATATTTGGTTTAATAGAATAATGTTATTATACATTTAAAAACTGAATATACCATTATATCGATCAATTTATCATAAATAATGTTTTGAGAACTAACTAATTTTCTACTTTTCATTATAAGAAAAAAAAATTTCCCAGTGATAGATACTTATGTATGTACATTCCAGCAATGCTTAATTAAAATTAGCGTGGCATAGTGTCGATGAAGTCGAATGGTAGGTCCATTATTTATGGGCTTTGTTTTCACCAGCTTTACAATAGTCATGAACCGGATTCTCTCTCTTTATCTCTTTCTGTCTTCCTTTCTCAGGCTCAATATTGGTAAAATTCAGTATAATCTAGATATAGTTTGCATAATTCAATTCAAGACAAGAATACACTGTTTACTCTTTCGGGGTCGAGACTGTGAAACCCAATAGCTAACTTGAATCTTCGGGGTACCAACCCTTCGAATATACACGTATAAGATTCCATATAACCAATGCATGATTGTCCTTCAAAACTTACTTTCTAAAAATCATCTTGAAGGTTAACAACGTAATATTTTGAATCTTTGAGACAAGTCAATCCTACAACTACTACTCTTCAAATATTATTTAAATTTTAATTTATACTTTTTGAATTGATTTAATTGAAATTATTTACAAACTAGTAATCAAAAAAAATTTTAATGAAATTTGGTGTTGGGTTTTATTTTATAAATCAGAATTAAATTATATTTAACGTAATAACATAAATCTGTAAAAGTAGACGTTAAAAATTTCTTCCATATTTATCTTAAATAGTTTTCATACTATTTCGTATAATTGGGTATTTATTTAGTTATAATTAATTATTAATTAATAAAGCATATCGATTTATTCAAATGAATTATTAACTTATAAAAGTATACAACCTTATATACAATTAATTATAAAATATCGATATATTATTTTTTACTGATTCAGTCCTTAATCAGTAAGTTAAATATTAAAAAACAGGTACACAATTAAATTAAAAATGAAATTCTAATATACAAAATGTAAAAGAATATAATGATATTTTTTTAATTATATATGTCTTTATTTTTAGATGTCTTTTTATATATTTAAAAAAGCGTTTCTACTCTTTTGTGAAAAATAATATAAAATTAAATTTGATAAAATAAAACAATTTATATTTATTTTATTAAAAATATGCCATAATAAAGATATTTAATTCATTGAACATAGCAAGGAAGATAATTTATTTTAAAATAGAAAAATTATTTAAAAATGCAAAAACAATCATTTTTATAAATATTTTATTTTATTTGCCATGATGAAATAAAATGATTTAAAATAGTTTTTTAGCTTAGTTTCTTCAGATTCTCTATGTATATTAGAAGATATATCCTAAATTAGTAAAGTAAATAAGTATTAAATAATATCTTAAAATTCACTTTTAATTTGGTTACAGTCGATAATTAAGAGCGCTTAATGTCTTTTATTCAAAATCTAATTCACATTAGTTTTTTAATATTTTAATATTTCAATTAAATTAATTTTTATCACAAAATAAGTACAGGTAAATTAAAAATCAAATATCAAGCGGTTTTATACACGAAAAATTTATAAAATTCAATTATTGTCATTAGAATATTTATTAGGCAAAATGTACATAATTAAATATAGTACATACCGAAGTTTAATAAATAAAAAACAAACTGCAAGACATCAAGAGTAACGGATTTTAATTAAACCAGAATATTGTAAAATTTACTAAAAAAAAGAAGAATGAAATCAAACAGAAATACAAAATATTTTTAATGAAAAAGTAATTTTTTTGTTTTTATAATATATAAATATCAGCGATTGATTATTTACTTCGTGTGTGTACCTATATATTACGAGTGAATATATAAGTACGGAGGATTACTGCTTTTAATTAGATCAAATTGATTTTTTATTGATATCGAGCAGCGTAACCTCACAAAAAGAAGAAAAGTAAATTTTCTTTTTATTTTTTTTTTCATTTTTATTCATTTTAAAGCATGATTCGTATTTATTAAGAAATTCCTGAAATTTTATACAAAATTACGTTTATCAAAAATAAAATTAAATGAAGGCTTGTTTTTATAATTTTAATATTTTCATAATTATGAAGTATTTATTACAATTATTAATTTTATAAATTTTATTTAGAATTACACATTCATTATTTTTAGTAATTTTACAATTAATTTTTATCAATACATAATAATATTTTTATACTTATATAACTTTAAATATATAATTTTTGCATTTATAAACATAAAATATTTTTAAATTTATTTAAAATTTGAAATATTAATTCTAGGAACTATTTTTTTCAATTCATAAAATCATAAAATTGAATCTAGAAATTTAATGGTATTCTCTTATTTCCATAAATGTAACTCTATTAATTGTTATTAATAACAAATATTTTATTTTTTGAATGATTAAATAATTAAGATCGTATTCTACGTAAATTTATTTTTTCAATTTTAAACGTAAAAATTCAATTACTTTTAAATAAGATAAGAAAGTTTTTTATATTCTAAGCATAATTAACTACGAAAAAAACTTTCTGAGAAAATTGTATATTCTATGTCTCATAATTTGGTAG